CAACAGATACACTAAGCTAAATCCTTCTTAAAAGATATTTTTTTGTTGGTATGACAACAAGTGGGTGAAGTGAGAGTGTTAATTCATTTTTTGATGGATATGTGAATTCGAGGACCATGTTGAATGAATTTGTACTACAGTATGACAAAGCAGTTGAGTCTCGAAGGGCCGCCAAAGAAGATGAAGACTTCAAGACTATGAACTCGAGTGCAGTTCTATCTTCTATGCATCCGATCGAAGCAAAAGCAGGTGAGTGTTATACTAGAAAAAATTTTGGTAATTTTCAAAAATAATGGATGGAAACCACTAACAATTTAACTCATGAGACTTTAAGTAAATGTACAGAAGAAATCAAATATCAAGTGGGGAAATTGAACACTAATAAAACATATTGGTGAATTGTTAGCTTTCGGTCTTTGAATCAAGTAAATGTCACATGTTCTTGTGATAAGTTTGATACATATGGGATATTATGCAAGCATAGCCTACATGTGATGAAGAAGAGACATTTTGAGACACTTCTGAGTCACTATATTTTACCTAGGTGGACTATTAATGTAAGGTACAAGGTGGGTAATGGTAGCATCGGACTCGAGAAAATGGATAATGAAAATGGGGTTAATGTTTTCACTTTGTGGTGTGTTCGTTAAAATTTTACTAAATTAATTGAACAAGCAAGGGACTCCCCTATAGAGATTAAAAAACTCAACACTATGCTAATAAGTCTTTAAGATGATCAAGCGAATCGAAAAAAGATTAAAAATTTTTAGAATGCATCTCAAGGTTCTTATGTGGGAATTTCACAAGTCGATATCGTGTCTCGGTTATCCGTTAGGGATCCTCGTGCCAAAAAAACGAACATGTTCTTATTGCCATGGATTGGGTCATTATGCCACTAGTTGTTCCAAAAAGAAAGGTCGTTACCATACTATTAATTTTTCATGATTTTCCTAGTTTCATAATTATACTGATTATTTATTTAAATTTTCATGTATCGGATGAATCGTCGCAAGAGAAACAGTGATGGGATGATTTTCTTTTCAAGTTTTATAGTCTACTTCAGTTTTGGGACCTGTTTCAGAAGTTGCTTAGATCTTGCTTCATTTTTTATTTCCAGTTGTATAACCTAAATCATAACCTACTTCAGTTTTAGAGCCCATTTCATTTTTTTTTGAACCTGATTCGTTTTATAAGTTTTAAAACTTGTTTCAGTTCTGGAATAAATATTTTGAATGATGGATGTTGGTATTTTTGTCAATAACATAAGTACGGTTGGTGGTTGTCGAGGCCAACAAAATAAATACCCTAAATATTACTCACTAAAATAGTGTATAGTGGTAAAGGGATCATATCCACGGAAATTGGTTCAATTATATAACTCTATGATAATCTTGTTGTACAAATACTTGTAAAACTAAAATAAAATAAAATTTGGCGATTTTGATCTTTTGATATGTTTAAAAGAAAACTAGAATCACACTAAGATTTAAAAACACAATTCAACAAAAGCAAAGTTTGATGTAAAATCAATAAGATAAAGATGGTTGAGTTTGGACTTTCAATACTTGAACATTTAGCTAGATAATCATGAGAATACCAAGGTGCAATACTTGTGTTTATAATCTAACTTGGCTATAGCAATTTATACGCATAACTTGCCTCAACTCTTCTTTTGTATTAAAATGACTAGAGAAACTCATAGCATATTTCCTAAATCAAAGTCACAAAACTAATGAAGCATGTAATTTTGTGAAAATCAATTAGCATTAGGTTTTAAGAGTCCCCAAATCCAAAGATTAATCTATTGCTTTCATTACCACTATGGAGAAAATATTTTCTTAGTCTAAATGAAATGAAAACAAACATTTAAACTAATTGTTACTTGTTAAATTGAAGACACATTACTTAGCCAAGAATTTAACCAACAAAAAATAACATTCACATATCAATATTCATGACTAGAGATATATAAACATGAAGGAAGTTTTCATAGAAAATATAATCATAGATATTCGACACAAGTTCATGGAGTTCTTCAAAATAACCAAAACATTCAAGCAATTACATCCACGTCAACCAAATATGAGTCTAGCCAAGCATGGCCAAAATGAAAGAAATGCAAAGTAGATTAGTGATACCAAACATTGTTCAATATGCAAGTTGGAAGAAAAATTGCTCCAAGCTTCTAAATCTTCCAATCTTCTAGAGAGCAAAAGTGTTGTTCTTCAAAGTCTCTCTTTCTCTCTCTCTCTCTCTCTCTCTCTCTCTCTCTCTCTCTCTCTCTCTCCCCCCCCCCCCGCTTTCTTCCTCAAAAAGTAGTAAATAGGTGTAAAAAATCGGATCTAAAAGTCCCCAAAAAGCATTCCACCAACCTTCCCAAAATAGAGTCAAAAAGTCAAAAATCCGGATTCTTCACAGTGCGATCCACGCGGACCATTTGTAAATCCACGCGGACCGCGTGGATTCTGGGCCATTTGGCCCATTTGATTGGCCTTCTAGTTTCTGATCCTTTATTTCTTGGTCTAGCCCACATGTAAAGGTTCTTTATAGCCTAATTATGTCTTCTTGGCTCTCCCAAGATGGGCCATTGCTTCCTTGATCTTGTATAGCTCAAAATTCTCTTCACATCATCATCATTCTTCATCTAAAATTAAGCCCAACTTGCTCCTTTGATTATGTTGACAACATGCCCAATCACACCAATTCAAGTCTACAAGCAAACTGCAAGCCTCCAAAAGTCCCGCACTTCTTCCATACCTCCAATGACAAATAATCTTCGATAAATCCTGCAAATAAGCTCAAAAGACTGGAAAGCACCAAATAAAGGAGAAAAATAACAAAAAGAGAAAATATGCATGAAAAATAACTAAAATGAGATGGAATGTACTAAAATAAACTATAAAAAGAAGTAAATAAAATGAAACTATCAACGGTGATATTATATGTCAAACGAATAAGTACGTTGATACTATATGTTAAAGTTATAAGTACATTGCTATTTTTGCTTTGCTTTTTTCTTTAAATAAGTGTCACAATACATACCTATGTAATAAAAAAATGTAACAAAACACATGAAGTACACAATACTATAGCCAAATCCAAAGAAAACTATGTTGTTATTTTTGCTTTGCAATTTCTTTTAAAGCAAGTGTGACAATACACATGAAGTAAAAAAGGGTCCTACCCAAACGTGCCAAATGAACAAATTCTCACTGGTATATGACTGGAAAAGGTTCCTACATAACCATACAGTTAAGTTCAAGATAGGTTGAGCGATGTACCTCAAGATCACCATCAATTCTTGGCTTTTTGTTCTGAAGACCAAGCCTATCTATTGAGATATAATACTTAATTGAGTTAGTTAAGGTAAGAATATTAGCAATAGTATGGTGGAGGTTGAATTAGTAAAAATTAGAACATACATGGTCATTAAGACACATGTGCAGGAGCAGGGGACATCTTGGTATTTGCAAATGGCCCACAAAACCAAGATATCTTACATATGCTACAAAGTTGGTAACAACACAACCACCGAGTGTTTACAGGGGATTAAGTGAATAAGTATAATGTAATTATCGGTAAAAAGTAGAAGTGTGCTACTATTATTGTAGAAATTATAAGGAAAAAAAAGTACAGTGTTGGAGGCCAGCCAGGAGGTGAAACACATAAGTACTTTGCTATTTTCAGTTGATTTTACAAGTACAAGTTCTTTACTTAGGCATTCTCACCAGATGCAACATCATTTGTCACTGTTTACATATACAGAAAGGTAAAAAATGTATTATTTTCCCACAAATAAAACTCAACAAATGATATTAAAATATACATATATGAGAGAAAATCACTTACAAACTTCCTTATTGAACAACATTAAGAAAGTGGAAAACAACAATTTCTTTCTCTGAGGCATTCTATCGAACAACATATATGCATTCCAACATCCAAAAACCTTAAATTACCTACTAACATTTAAAAATTTCCATACCTATTATCAAAAGTAATTTTTAAAATAATTGATTTTTATGCAATGATTTTCATGAAAAAAAATAGATAAACTTTTTGCGAACAATCATCAAATATCTAATATCCACACAAAAATAGAAAAAGATAAAATTATTGCTTCAAAGGCTTGTACATATTTTTACCTGGTAGACTAGTAATGCGATTTATAAAACATGGCAATTTCCAATGAAGAAAATAAGTAAGAATTAGAGCTATTCTTGACAGGAATCGTGAATTGTTGGATTTGCATATGACACTTCGCAATTGAGAGTTTACGGTGGAGGTTGAATCGATTTAAAAGATGTAGATTCATTTTGTTGAAATTTATGAAAATTTATACTTTCAACCATTTATATATTGTCGTTCAATTAAAAAGATGAAGAATCCAATTACATATATGATGATTTTTTTTCTTCGACTAACCAACATGATTGATTCCTAGAAGTGGGAAAATCATCCGATATCGAAAACAAATGAAACAATATATGATTATTAGGGATTTCAGTCGAGTGTTGCAATTAGCTCAAAACGACAACTTCGGGTGTTGCAATTAACTCATACCGAAAACAAATGAAACAATATATGATTATCAAGGAATTCACCTTCACCACTCACCATTCCACTAAACCTTTTGCCCCTACAATCATTCATAAGTAGTTACAGTTACACCACTGTTGTTATTAGGGAACCAGGATACTACTATGTCACTTGCCCAATTCTCCTCGCTTTCTTCTTTCACATTTCTACCACCGCCTATGCCAACCACTCGGGTCCTTCCGATCCGTTGTTTCCATACTTGACCATCCACCTCCACCAGTGCAACAACCTTAAGTAGCATATTAAATTATATCGTTATTGCTTGTCTTCGCGCCAAAAGGTATCATCCTCATCATCTAACACTCTCTGCTCAATTCCCGTGTAATGAATTTTCGATTTCAGGTGATTGTTGTTTCCTCGCTATATCAATAATTCCAATTATCATGTAATTCTATCCGTTCATGCGTGTGTTTATGGTGTTTAGCCCGGATGTGGCATTGGAAGCTGCAAAGGCTGCAATTACGGGTGGAATATCGGTTGTAAGTATGTTGTTGTCGTATTGTTAGTAGAATTAAGGATTGAAAACTTGAAATTGGTGTATGTTTTCTTCTTTGGGTGAGTGAATTCATGCAAAGTTCCACCTAAGCTATGCTCCCAAAAGAAATAGCATTCGTACTTGACGTAGACCTGGCAATTTCAGACACAAAGACACGAATCTGTGAGAGACACGAAACGACACGAATACACGACATGAATACATCTTAAAAATTGAGATAATGCTTATTTCTCATCATGTAATCGTATCGTGTCAAATTCGTGGCTGACACGTTTTCATGACACGAATTGCCATGTCACCTAAGATTCATATACAAAGTAACTTCTCAATTCATTATTGCAAATTTAAAATTCTTATTAATAATTTACTTGAATTAGGTTGTTAGTTCTAAAACAAAAAGCATATGAAAACAGATTCTGTAATTAGCATCCAATTAAACTTTCTGGGGTGATTTCACCTTGTAGCTCACAGTGTTCTTGAGTATTGCCCTTGTTAATTGTGATAACTTGCATATACGATAAAGTAGCCAAAATGAATGAAAGTAAAGAAAACTAAATTAATGTAATACTTGTACTTTTCACTCTCCAATGCTTTTAACTCACATGATTAAGCTAGAATAAGTATGCAGTGACAAATTATAATTATTAGTTTAATTTACAAATAAACAAGGCCTTAATGGATGTAATTGTGATGTTTTGACGTAGAAGCAATGTTTGTTGATTTGTAGCTGGAGATTGTGGTTTCTACCCCAGGTGTTTTTGAGGTTGTTTAACATAAAGCCACTTGTATAAGTTACGTGCATTCCATACATTTCTGGTTGATGATCTTGAAAGTTTATAGTTTCCCATATTTTTTATTTGATAGGTTTTACATCAACTGGTGCAGGATTTTCCAACCACAACTCTAGGGGTAAGTATTCCACAATCATCAATTGTATGATCATTTTTTAGTGAACTATTTTTGTCATGGATGAATTCTTAACATATCTTAAATTCTTAATGCTCTAACATGTTCCAGATTGGCACTATTTTAAATATTGAGGATGTAGAAAATGCAAAAAAAAAAAAAAAAAAAAAAAAAAAGTCGGTGCAAAATTCATCATGAGTCCTGCAATTGTAAAGGCATGTCACAAATTATTACAACAATATAACGTTTGTGTACTATTTTTAAATCTTCTGTTAATAATGTAAATTGTTTGCAGGGTATTCTTGATGAAGACAGTGATGATTCGTTATATATACCTGGTGTAATGATCCCAACAGAAGCAAGTATACAATCATATTTGTTAATAGAAAAAACTAAGGCATTTGTAGAGTTATATATTATCTGTAAAATTATTTTGCAGATACTTTCATTATATAATGTTGGTGCCAAAATCGTGAAGGTATACCCTATTTCTTCACTTGGTGGTGTTGGATACATAACAATTGGTAGGTTATAATGATATATACTATGTTTGTTACACATCACATGATATGATATGACATGATATGATATATGTGTTATTATATAGATTTAATTGGTGAATATATTTGTGAAGGAGCATCAACGATTGTTTTATCTGATGTTATTTTTGAGAAAGAGGCGATGGCTCAAAGAAACTTCACTGTAGTTTATCAACTTGCAGCTTCACAAGGCAATGAAGATGTAGAAAGGTGTTACTATTTACTATAGCTTCTTTGACTGTTTTTACTTTTTTACTTATTCATATACCATAATATCTGATTATGATTTATGCATCTCATGAAGCAAATTATTTGAAATTTTGTAGGCGTAAACGCCTTGCTGTTTCAATACCTTTTTCTTAATAATTACTTTATATTATTTCAACATGTTGGAGTTGGATCCATTTGATGCCATTTTGAAATATAAAAAATGTTTCAATATCTTTTTCTTAATAATTACTTTATATTATTTCAACATGTTGGAGTTGGATCCATTTGATGCCATTTTGAAATATAAAAAGATAATACAAATTAAAATTCAAATGTTTTTTTTCAAGTATTAGACCATCCCTGACTCTTAACAGTATCTTTTACACCAAATGGATAAAAATGGTTTGAAAGCAACCCTTATATTTATTAGTTTGTTACAAACTTGACACGTATTTTTTTTTTATCACACTAACTATAAATTATATTGTTAGATACTGGTAATGAAATAAAATTATTCATGTATAATTAATTATCATATTATTGAAACAACAATTATATTAATAACACTGGTAACAATATTAAGTATACGTTGTTATTGTACAAGCAATAAACTAAAAATAAATAAGTTCAAAGTTGAATGATCAATTTTTATAAGTAAAACTTTACACTATGGCCTATGGGTATGTTCGACAACAAGATTTTGAGAACTTCTAATAGGAGTTTTCACTTTTATTTTTAAGAAAAAAAAACTCGAATTAAAGAAAAAGTTTAGTTTGGAGTATGAGCTTAAAATTTTATTTTAAATAAACAACTTATAATCCAAAAGTTACTTCAAATAATTTTTGAGAGATTTTAGTTTTTAGTCTTTGGGTATGTTTGATAAAATTAGTTGGAAATTGTAGTTTTTATTTGTGTTTAGATTTAGGCAAGAGTAGTTTTAAGTTTTCAAAATATATAAAATTATAAATTAAAAGCTCCTAAAATTCTAAAATCTCCCAAAAACTATTTTAAATAGCTTTTGGATTGTTTAATATAAAAACTAAAAGCATAATGAAGTTTAATCATTAGTTGAAGCTTTTTTTAAAAGCTAAAAGCTTTCGAAAGTCAACTGTTGTAAACAAATAAAGTTAATAAGTTTAGCTTTGAGCTTTCAAAACGTACATAAATAAAAAAAAAATATAGCTTCGAGCTTTCAGGTAGTTTTGGGCTCAGGACTTTTGGGCTTGAACCAGGCCTTAGAGGCTTGGACTTACGTAGAGGTGGGCCTTGACCATTTTGTCTATTCTACAACCAATAAGTCCTTTTACATTAACTACACAACAAAAATATAACATAATATAAACGAACGTAGACCCATTAATCTCTTTTAGTAGTATTAAACTGTCGACGATAGTTATTGAGTCTCATCACATACAGCTATATTTTGTCAATTTGATTGACTACACTATTAGAAAAACACGATAACTAAAGCAAATTAATAAAATAACTTCAATACCATCTATCTTCAAAAGGAAGGCTCATCTTCATCCTCATCCTTATCCTTGTGATTAAATAAAAAATGAGCCACTAACAACGAAATTGGTGCATCTGCTTTTTAATTCCAAAGTTCAATAAAACTATAGGCTAAAAAAACAATAACCCTAGTTTACATGCAAGACTTGCAATAAAGAAAGAAACCCCACTATCACTTCATAACGACTCTCCTTCTAGACAGTTTGATATCCTAACCAATTCGTGTCCCACATGCCTTAATAAGGCAATAAGTAGGGTGGATTTTTTCTAAAAATAGAGATGCCTATTTCCTCAAACAATAGTTTTTCCTACACAACAGATTTTGTGCATTTCCATTAAAATTTTGTTATATAACTTTGGATCTATAGGGATGTTAGTTAAATGCTCCTGATCTCAGGTATAATTTTTTTATATACAATAATGTTTTGTTTTTCACAATTTATACTACAATGTTTACTTTTCTTAATCAATAAGTCAATAAAGGTTTATGTTCTTACCAATCTATGTAATTGATACCAATTAGGAGTAAAATATTATAAATTTTGGTCATCGTATGCAACATGATTACGTGTTGTCTAAAAAACAACTCTATACCATAAAATAATAACGAAACGTCATCAAGTAAACAAAAACTTGATTTTTTTTTTTTATAAAGTTATGTACTTATATATTAAAGCAAAATTTTAAAAGTATTTTGGGATGAAAAGGAGATTAAATTCAAGGGATATTTATGGTTAAAAAAAATGGTAAACCAAACCATTTGAGTGGCTCACATCAACCCGCCTCCTACATAAGATGTCAATAACGGAACACTGATTATATTTTGGATGTTATATATATATATATATATATATATATATATATATATATATATATATATATATATATATATATATATATATATATAATGAGAATGATAAGTTATTATACAAAATACCATTTTTTTGCCATTCTAGAAAAACTCACATTTGACAAAATAATCATTTTGGCTCATAATTGTTATTTTTTTGTTGTTGTTTATGGTGTTTTTGATAGTTTTAACATTAAAATATAAATAAGACATTTGATTTCTTTTGAGAGAGAGAGAGATGTCATGTCTAGTTATTGCTGACAAAATTCATATTAAAATTTATTTGCAGGATGCTTAAAGTATAACAGGTGAAAAACATTTGTCTAATCCTGCTTAACAACGTTTCTAACGGATAAAACATGAAACCTTATATTAGATTATAAACATAGATTGTTGTTGTCTAATCTTGCTTGGCAATGTTTCTAACGGACAAATTAAACATGAAACCTTAGATTTGGTTATAAACATAGATTGTTGTTCAAAAACTATCATTCTCTTTAGTTCTTAAAATAATTTAAGATACCAGTTCAAATTAGATCACTTTTATACACATTGTATAATCTCCTAGCATCTTACAAATAGATTTTGATATACATTACAAACAGGAACTTGAAACATTAGTCTTTTTTTTTTCAAACAAATCAAATGTTTTTTTTTCATATTCACATGTTGAAAATCATTAAGAACATTATAAACAACAATAAAATAGAACATGAGAATTATGAATCAAAAGAAAAAGGTTGGTTCAAATGGAAACATAAATTGAGTCTCAATGGTATATAAAAATATTATTACAGATCAAATCACTTCTAAAATTAAAAATATTCTAAATAGAAAAACATGAAAGTTAAATTAAATTTAAAAAAAAAAAAAATTGTCACATGTGAGTCTCTTTTTAGGGAAAAAAAGGTGAGAGTTTTCCAAAAAAAAAAATTGTGTAAAACCGGGAAATTACCACTAAGCTTGCCAAAAGTGAAGAATCGAAAATAGCTGAAAATACAATGTTTTTTTGAGGAAACAACCAAGAGAGTTAATCCAAAAAAATCAATATATAAGGTTTTTATGATATTAATCCATTTGAAAAATGATCATAATATTAGGACTTCCGTTCCGGATTTAATGTTGTTTTTGAAAAACAAATATGTGAAACATGACATAAAGGTGTATCAGAATATATTATATTTGACCGGGTTTTATGATCCAAATGAATCATTCTGAATTTCATCCCTATTTAAAGTTGATTTCATTGTCATTTTGCATCAACCCCTCTCAAAAACTTTTTCTCAACCCTTTCTCCGAGGAGATGTTTGGATTCACTGAGAATTCCTCGAAATGCCAGTCGACAATTGTCTTATATCGTAAAAAACTTTGTTATATTTCAAACCTAATTATGTGTTCCGATTTAAATGTGCAGGTCCAAAAGATATATTTTATAAGGTTTTAATATGTTACGAGCTTTTTCAAGTTGCAACGTTAATATATTATCTATTTTTTATTTTATGTTTGTTATATTGCACTGGTTTTGAATAGTAAGTCTAAATTTAGTTGTATGATGCTACAACAAAACATTCAGAAAGACCTGCATATGTGTTTCGATTTTAATAAACGAGTCCCAAAGACATCTTTTCTAAGGTTTAAATGTGTTACAAGTTTTTTCAAAGCCGCAACATTAACATAACATCTATTGTGTTTATGTGTTTGTTATATTGCACCGGTTTTAAAGAGTAAGTCCTGATTTAGTTGTACGTGGCCAAAACAACATTATGAAACATTGTTCTTGAAGACTCCGTTGTATTATAGACTAAATCATCACATTCAAGCTTGAATATGTGTTCTGATTGACGAGCCCAAAAGGCATATGTTCTAATTAATGTACTCCTAATTAACGTCATATATGTGTATATGTATTTGTGTCTATATGTAGACAAACTATGAATGGTAAAAAAATTCTAAAAAAACATCAAGAAAAATGTTACCTTTTTTTAAATTCCTTTTTATATTCCTTTGTATGTTTTAAAGACCCCAAGTGCGCATAGAAAAAAAAAATCTAGGTTAGTAGCTTAGGGACCGAAAATAACCAAATATAATTCCTTATATTTTAGGCTTGGTTGAGGGTGTCGAGAGGCCTACTAAATATGCATACTAAGCGATTCAAAACATCATTTGCAAAAGACATCGGGCCAATCTGTTGGCCGCAAGTAACAGAGTACCTAAATCAAGTAGACATACAAATGATATTCTATTTAGTTACAATTCAAGTTTTTGGTTTAGGGAATATTTTGTAATGCATTGTATTTCGTTAAGATTTAAGGTTTATGTTGCACATGTGATGTGTAAAAATATATTTTCTTATTTATTTATGTTATATGTATTTCTAAAACTATTAGTATGAATTACTAATAGTATTTATGTTATAACATAAACATTAAGCTAATTTGTTATGTTAGATGAATTACTTTTCGGCTAAAGTCGGTGGTATTTGTATATCTCATTCTTAGCCAATACATATGTAAATACACATGCAATGATGCGAACATCAAAATAAGTATGAATTGTGTATCTCAATATCTTGAGACGTTTGTCCAAAATAAATTTGCCGAAAACATGTCCGATATATCATATTTCAAACCATTTTATGTCAAATTAAGTCTACCCACCAGCACTTCGGAACAACTTGCTCTTTTCCAGAAATAAAATATTCAAAGACTAAATGATCATTTCACCAATAATGCAAAAACATGGATTTTTTTTATTTATTTAAATCCAAAATAAAAATTGGTGATTTTAGTCAATATCCCCTTGTATGAAACCATTTTATGAAACAAGAGACGATGGAGAGAGATTGCACATTCTCCTTTCTTACCGTTGCCACGTCAACCTCGCGCTTCTTCTTCTTTTCTTTTCTCTCTCTCTCTCTCTCTCTCTCTCTCTCTCTCTCTCTCTCTCATATCAATCCAAAACACAATTGACTTGAAATCCACATTGCAAAATTCGTCCATCAGATCCATCAAAAACCCTCACCAAACTCCCCAGATCTCCCACATTTTACTCAATTCCTAAATCAATCCCAAACATCCATCATCATCCATGTAAACCCACAAAACTCAAATCCCACCAAACCCTGCAACCTCCCTCCTTCGATTTAATGAAGGGAGGCAGCACAAAGTCACAGACACAGTGGTTTACGATCGGCCTCGTCTTATCATGGTACACATCCAACATTGGAGTACTCCTTCTCAACAAATACTTACTCAGCAACTATGGATTCAAGTACCCGATCTTCCTCACCATGTGCCATATGACCGCTTGTTCTTTGCTCAGTTACATCGCCATTGTTTGGATGAAGATGGTGCCTCTCCAAACTCTTAGGTCTAGGGTTCAGTTTTTCAAGATCTCCGCCCTCAGTTTGGTGTTTTGTGCCTCCGTCGTTAGCGGAAATGTCTCGCTTAGGTATTTGCCCGTTTCCTTTACGCAGGCCGTCGGTGCCACCACACCATTCTTCACGGCGGTGTTTGCCTATATCATGACTATGAAAAGAGAGGCATGGTTGACCTATGTAACTCTCATCCCTGTCGTCACCGGCGTTGTCATTGCTAGTGGGGTAAAAATACCTAATTTCATTCTCAATTCTCAATTCTCAAAACTCAAAATCCTCATCTGTCTGATTATTTCATTTCGTGATGACAGAGTGAACCGAGTTTCCATTTATTTGGTTTCATCATTTGTCTTGGCGCCACAGCTGCAAGAGCATTAAAGTCGGTGCTTCAAGGAATTTTGCTATCCTCAGAAGGGTAATCTTCTCTTCTTCTTCTTCTTCTCCTTCTCGATCTCTCTTAGTTGTATCCGATTGATTAACAACATAACATATTGTAATATTGGATTGATTTGAAATATGATAACAGGGAGAAGCTAAATTCCATGAATCTTTTGTTGTACATGGCTCCAGTAGCTGTTGTGATCCTGCTTCCTGCAACATTATTAATGGAAGATAATGTGGTTGGGATTACTATAGCTCTTGCCAGAAAAGATGTGAACATTGTGTGGTATCTGCTGTTTAATTCTGGTTTAGCGTATCTTGTCAACTTGACCAATTTCTTGGTTACGAAGCATACAAGTGCTTTAACTCTCCAGGTATATACAATACTATATGATATGAATGCTTCCATTCAGGGAAAATGTAGCTGTAAATCTTATTAATGTTACTACTTAATACATACCAGGTTTTGGGGAATGCTAAAGGAGCTGTAGCTGTTGTGATATCAATTTTGATATTTAAGAATCCAGTGTCAGTAACAGGGATGCTAGGTTACTTGCTTACAGTGTTTGGGGTGATTTTATACAGTGAAGCCAAGAAGAGGACCAAATAAACCTCCTCCATATTCAGTTAACCTTTTGTATTCTTTCACTTGATAAAACAGTTTCCATATATTTTGTTTGATTTTTAGTCCCAATTTGTTGTATACCTTCATGTGATTATGAGTTTACAGTTATACTGTTGTATAAATACTTATACAATACCCTAGAATCTCAATAAAGTAACATAAATACCCAATTGTTTCGTACTGTTTTTCTTGTGTTATGCCGAGTTACAATTTGACAAAAGTTGGTTTTTCTTGAAATAGTCTTTAATACTTCTATTTTGTTTTAAACCATAGTGTTATGTGTTTCTGAGAAATATGAAATTTACCTTTCTTTTAAGGTGCTAACGTGGTATCACGTTATGCTGATGTGTCGCCATGTCATGTCCAAATAAGCAAAACCAACATGTTGCGTCTTTTAAATTTGTAATCTACTAAAATTGTCAAATCAAAGTTATACCTTACACTAAGCTTTAAATTGAAAAACAAAAATGTTAGATATTTTTAGAAAATAACCCTGATATTTAATCACAAATTCATTGAGTTAAACATTAATCTTAAAGTCAAACATTGGTTACAATCAATTAACAATTTCATCCAAAATTTATCCACATGTTTTGACTTCTTCATAGTCGATTTGACATATTTGGGGTTGCAACAAAGGATATCTTGTGAATTCCATCATTTATTGTAGACTTTAATGAATATGACTAGTTTTTGTTAATGGTTAAAATCTCAGTTTAATCATCATATAACATTCATTATGTCAAATAATTAAAAAAAAAAAAACATCTCTCCTTATTATTGCTATATTGCAACTTCTCGTGTACTTATATATGTTTTTAATTAGTGCTTTTTATGTAATTGTCATCCTTTTGCAGCTTCCCAAACAACTCCAATATTCCCATTCTTGACAATCCAAAGGTCTAAACAACTATAAATATTAGCAGCATACAGAGTATCCTTTCTAAGGTTTTAGAGAACACCCTTTTAGCTTCCTCAATGAATCATGATCAAAGTAAAGGATAAACCATGGGACACAAGACAGTAGAAGAAATTAATTTCTTTTCAAACATTTCATCAAACACTTGCTTTGCATATCCAAAATTCTCCACATTTTCCATACGCACATATTACTAGATACAAATGAAAACATGAAAATTTGGTTAACTGTAATGAGGAATCTTGAAGTAATGAGGAATCTTGAAGGCAAATACAATCTTGACCACATTCCCACAGTACCAAAAAAAATGATGAAATTGTATTTGAGACAACCATGTAACGATGCTAGGACCCAATCAGATGGGCTAGCAACATTCATCTACTGAGCCATGGCTAAACCATGAAGAAGGCAAAATATGTAACCTCTAAGGCATTTCATCAAACAGTTGGCCCGCATCTCTAATTTGGGCACCTATCCATATGACCTTGCAGAGGAATCATGGAGAAATAGAACCTTAGGCAGCCTCCACCGGAGAAAAAAAAAAAAAGATGAGATTGTCTGTCAGACAACCATGTAACCATGCCAGGACCATAATAATATGGATTGGCAACGATCATCTACTGAGCCATGGCCGAGACCATGAAAATCTGTTAATCACGCTCTGGTTACATGGTCGTGATTCATCAACCAGACATGGGTTTCTGTCTTCTTAGGAATCAAGAATACAGAGGTACGAGCCTATAGAACAGATCCTGTTCAAGTAAGGTCGTGCTTCATCT